GAAGTTTCAACGCCAGACCAGACTGTGTGCAAATAATTTTCAGTAATGATCAGTTCATGATTGGCAGTTGATTGTCTGCAATGAACCTTGGTAAGAGAAAAGAGCTTTAATGGCTCAATCAATGCTGGCAGACTCCATAGCCACCATTTTCGTAGGGTCTGCTCAGTCAATCCCCTGTTGTGCAGGGTAATCAATGCTGGCAGCCCTCACACAGTTTTTCACCTTCGTAAGATGTTTTCTTTCAAGGGACGCTGGACCCGTTTTCCAGCAGGTGATGCTCCCCACTAATAGATGGAGCCTCTCCCCAGGTGTTAGTGGTGTCTGCTCTTACCAGCAGCACTAACACTGGTGGGGGTGTTTAAAAAAAACAAAAAAAAAAAACAAAAAAAACTAGCCTTGTACAAAAAACAAAGTTGCCACAGTGAATCACTTGCATCTTGACATTAGCCCCTAAATCAATTGGTTTCCAGGACGAAGGACAAATAATTAGTTGCGGCTTACCTAAAACCGTTATTGCAAATAACGAGTGAGAAAGGAAAACATGTACAGTAAGGGCATCCTCGTTGCATCCTGCGCCCTCTACTGAGACAATAAGAAAGGCTGAGGAGATAAAGTCATTGAGAACTCTTTGCAATTGGGTACTGGCAACGCGATGACAGATCCACAAAGGTAGGAACTCCTAACAATGAATCTATGCAGAACGTTTGAAAGACGTGAGCGTGTAAGCTTCTGTCCCTCTTTTTACACAAGATCTATCAGGTTGTTGGTCATCTCCCTATCTTTATTGCATCGGGTCAAACCTGCACCATCAGAACAGAGAAGATCATGAAGGATGAGGAAATTCTAGTAATGAAATGCAAGATTAATAAAGACAAATATGAGAGATGGGAGATTGGAATCGATCAGGACATGAAATTTCACAAGCTGGTCCTGAGGGAGCGTGCAGTTCTCAGAATTAGGGGAAAAATATATACTGAATATGTTTTACACAATCGCAATGGCATAGCACTGACTTTTCTCTAGAAACTATTGAGCAGGCCAAGGTGAAGCTCACGTGAACGTGAAAACTCTTAGACTCTTCTCTCTCAACGACTCTTCGGTGAATCTTCCAGCAAGTATCATTCGGTAATTCAGAACTTTTCTCAGCACTCTGTTATCAATGATCAGTGGTAAGGGACTAGATACTCAGCAGTTATCACTCATCTAAGACATTATCAGTATCTGAGCACGTAGTCATCCAGTCATCATCAGTTAATTTTCAGATCTATATCAAACAATCAGCACTTTCAGTAGTAACACTCGTTCAAAGAAATTATTATCAGCCTTCCTTTGATCATTCTCAACTTGAGTTCATCATCATTCGGATCAGTTCTAGTAATTATCCTGGCACATGAGTACCATAACTTTATTTCCAGCTCAGCAGACTGTCTTGACCAGTCTCAACATGATTGCTTCTAAGGATGTCTTCCAGTACCAGTATGTCAGTGCAGTCGTTTCAGACAAGAAGATTTGTCAATCTCCGTAGTCCTCACTGAATTTGCAGAGGGAACTATCCAAGATCTGAGGATCTATGCAAAGAAGGGGAATGAGACTCGTGAGCATTTTGACTCGGTCTGGGTTACTGCAGCTCGGTATGTTGATGAGAGAGCTCTGGTGCGGAGGATGCAAAGTTGCTTCATAGCTTTGGTCGTAAGTTATATACTGACTACTCCAGGCCTCCTGTCCCTTTCTACCTCATCGATGGTTCTTGCTGGGACGATTTGGTTGACCTGGCCAAAAGGTATGTCTCACCAACAGAGATTGACTATGAAGCAGTGACTGAGCCATCAGAGTTCCGACATCTCAGCCGAGGGATTTTGTCCAGACCATATCTCCCTACCCTGTTGGAGGAGTTCTGTGCTATGCTTGACTTTCAAATTTTTGGTCTTGGATGAACTTATTCGGAACTCATGGGCTTTAGGTGGTTGTACATCACTAGACCACAATCTCATGAGGTACCTAGACGTGACTCAAGGCGCTCGAGACGAACAGTCAAGAATGAAATAGAGGATGAGACTTGGGAGGGATGAGTGAGGACTCTAAACGAGTGCCGACCATGTTTTTTCATCTGTACTTTCTGAGGTTATTACGAGTTTTCACCTTCCCTCATTCATCTTTGTCATTGCCTTTAGTTAGTTAGTCTTGATTTTCTTTCATTGGAATTGCTTGATGTTATGCTCTTTAAAGTCTTTACTGATCTTGTCACAGTTCTCAAAATCCTAAATTGGCAATCATGATGCGCTATATATTTTATTTTAATTTATTATTATTTTCATAATTGCATTTGCTGTTCTGAATCACAATCAAAGATTCCTAAGACCGGGGACCGGTGTAGACCGTAATTGAAGGGTCTCGCTCGAAGCCAGACGCACGCAACAGGAAGGGATCTGCATTAATTTATTTATTTATTGCAAAATAAAATGAATAAAATCCTGTGTGACAGTCTGTTGTCTTTCTCGTCGCCAGAAGTGGTCTGACAGGAAAAAGTGCGACACCGTGTTAACCGCCGCATATTTATGCTCATTTCGGGTTTCTTCCATCATTACTTCAGGGGGGGCGGGGGGGGCATGGTTGGGGAATGTGGGGAATCCATCTCCATCGGTTATATGTGGAAGGTCTGGCCCAGTGGGTCTGGACCTATCATGGGGATTCTTTTTCCCATCCGTTTTCTTGCATGTTGAATATAAAACGTTTTGGGTCTGTCTCTCAACTATGTGATCCCATCATTGAACCAACCCACCCTGTTTCCCGACTGCGGCTTTTGGGTTTACCAATATGACCAGAGTGTGTTCACCAGGTCTTTGAGCCTTGTCAGGGGGAGGAGGGAGGTAAGGAACAACAACTGACATGAACCGCAGATAGCAGTCAATAGCATACACTCGACATGATTTTTTTTTTATTTTTTTTTTTTAAACACAACACACACACGTGCCCCATCTATTCTGGGGGGCGGCAGTCCGGTTGCTTATCACCAGCAAGCAAGTACAACAAGTGTTACATGAAAATAGACAGTCGTGACAGAAAAGAGTTTTTCAGGAGGTGTCAACCCTGGTGAGCACCAGTGGTCGCATGCGACAGATCGAGATTGGCCGAGTGAACTCGAGAATCTCTAGGCCCGCAGGGGGATGTTGCCGGGACGCAGAATGCACCCAGTCGCAACGTCCCCTTCCGGGTCCGAGGCCCCCGCTAGACCGGCCTCTCTCCCCTCGCTCCCTCCTTGGGAGAAATCCAACCCCCACGCCCCTCTGTTAACCCCTCTCTCCACTATTACCCTCACCCCTCCTCCCTTGCCGTGTCCCAACTGTCCCTACCCTGGCCTTAATTGGCTCACCACAATCGTTACCGTGTCCCAGTTGTCCCCTCCTCCCTTGCCGTGTCCCACTTGTCCCTACTCTGGCCTTAATTGGCTCATCACAGTCGCCTTAATTGTTTTTTTCCTATCTATCAGCTCCTCAGCCTTCCCTGGCCTTGATTGGCTCCTTGTTGTTATTAGCATCCAGTGCCAATCCATTTCCCCTATTCCTCCATGTCCTATTACACCATATCAATCCCAGCAACTCGTACCCATCCCCCTCCCTTGTTCCAACCTGTGTTTTTCACCTCCCATCTGTATACCACCCCCGAGCTTTTTGACAAAAAACATTTACCACCCCTCCCCATTTATTCTCCAGCCTTTTTGGACACAGTCTCAGTCTATATACAACCCCCGAGCTTTACAGCGAAGCAAAAATCAGACTTGCTGCGTCTCGTTTATCCCTGCAACCCCAAATTTACTCTCAATCCCTGGGTTTCTGTCCCTGCAACCCCTAATCTGTGTCAGAAGATTTACCACCCCTCCCCATTTATTCTCCAGCCTTTTTGTACACAGTCTCAGTCTATATAGAACCCTCAAGCTTTACAGCGAAGCAAAAATCAGACTTGCTGCATCTCGTTTATCCCTGCATCCCCAAATTTACACTCAACCCTGGTTTTCTGTCCCTGCAACCCCTAATCTGTGTCCCATCCCGTTTTCCTACCGTTAACCTGTGTTTTTTGTCTCCAATCTGTATACATTCCCTAATTACACTCCAGATCCCCACTCGTTTTCGCCACCCTCCCCTGGATCAGACTTGCTGTGCAGCGGATATCCCGGCCTCCCCGAGTCTATGCACACTCCCAGTTCTCTATCCCAACTGACCCCAAATCTCTACCCTACCCCAATCTGTACACTGGCCCGATTCTCTATCCCTGCCACCCCGAATATGTACAGCCCCCGAGGTTTGCAGCAGAGCAAAACCGCCTTGCTGTGTCTCTTTTGTCCAATCCTGGTTTCCTACCGTTAACCTATGTTTTTTACCTCCATCTGCATACAACCCCCGGGCTTTTTAGCAAGATTGTCGACCTCTCCCTAGTTAATCCCCTGCCTTTCTGTGCCCAACCTCAGGTTTTCGAGAAAACTGTCAGCCCATCCCTAATTACACTCCAAATCCCCACTCGTTTTCACCATCCACCCCTGGGTCAGACTCGCTGTGCAGCGATTGTCCCGACCTCCCCAAATCTATGCACTATCGCAGTTCTCTATTCTAACTAACCCCAGATCTCTGCCCTGCCCCACTTTGTGCACTACCTCGGTTCTTATTCCCAGACACCCCAAATATGTACAGCTCCCGAGCTTTGGAGCAGAGCCAAACTCAGACTTGCGGTGTCTCGTTTGTAACAAACTTGTCGACCTCTCCCTAGTTATTCTACAGCCTTTCTGTACACGACCTCAGGTTTCTGCAGCGAGAACTGAGAGGTTTTCTACTGCTAAACCACTGCCCAACCCCCGAGCTTTGCAGCAGAGCTATCAAGACCCCATCTCTCTATTGCGAAACCACTACTTCTGTACTCAACCTCCCACCCACAGTCTCAGTTCTCTATCCTAGTCTCCCCAAATCTATACGCAATCCCATTTCTCTGTTACAAAACCAGTACTCCTGCGTCAGATCTATACACCACCCCCGAGCTCCCTTACCCTTCTATTATCCTGCCTTATCCAGGGTTCCGGGTTCCTCGGCGGTCCTGCACCTTGTCAGCCACTATCGACGTCTTGTTCCTCCGTCGAAATCTCCGATACCGTTTCAGATATCGTCATTCCTGTGTCATTCCTTTCCCGGCAGATCCCCCGGTCCCGGGTCATGTCTTCCCTCCTCTCTTCCTGTGTCCAACTCCTTTCTTCCCCGACGCTCCTTCCCTCCTCCCCCGCCCCGTTCTCTGCCCTTGTTTGTGACGAACCGCCGTCCCCCTGTGCCTCCCCTTCCCTTCTTCCCCCTTCTCCAAAGGCCTCAGCCCATCCCCACTGTCCCATCTTCCCCCCCATCCACAACACATCCGTGTACTTATCCCACGCCTCTTTGAGGAATCTCCAATTCCCATTTTGATTTCTCTGCATATCTGCCGTGACCGATACCTTGAGGTTTTTTAGGAACCACTGTTGCAGTGTCCTTGCTGACCCCTTCACCCCTGTTCTCAACAGTCTTCCCCTCATTGCCCACATCGCTTCCCAAAAGGCTCCCCGTATCACATCCCCTGCATACGCATGGACCATCCGGGTCTGTGTACCGGCCAACAGCTGGCCCACCAACACCTCCACCCTGTGCTCAGGCGATTGCGGGTGCAGTGGCACTTGCCTCCCGTTTGTGCCCCACCACTCCCAAAAAGTTTCTTGCGGTTCGCATTCCAGCCATATGTGTGGCAAGGTTTCTTGCCTCCCCTCACAGGCTTTGCAGTCCTTGTCCGTGGCCGAGCTGTACTCGGCCATCCACTGGTACGTAGGCACTGCCATTTGCAAAGTCAACCACAAGCCCCCTGCTTGTTTCTGGTTCGGCAGCATAGTGAGTAATGTGCACGCTCTCTCCCAGTTCTGCTGCGTCCACTTCCCCACCTGGGATTGCTCAAGCCACCCCTTCTTCTTCCATCTCTCCCTCATCTCGTCAGCCATGTCCGTTGGTGCATTTAGTGATCTGTAGATCACCTTCGTCGTGACATGGTGTGCCAGCATCGGGCAGCGCTGGGAGTTTGTCGCCCTCCATTCCCACATCGATGGGTCCCAGGGAATCTGGAGGGGGTGTTGGCTTATCTGGAATGGTCTGAAGCTGTCCCCTTTCCTTTCTTTTTGTCCCTGACCACCGCCACAGATCTCATGTTGTCTCTGTGTATCCTGCCATCCCTCTGCCCACACCTCATCATTGGTTTCCCCAACGCTGTCCCCGTCTGCAGTACCTCCCATCCCTCTGCCCAGTACCATTCCTCCTGTTCTTGTGCTGTTATCCTGAACAGCGTTGATGGCGGGTCCTCTGTGGTCAAGGCGATCCATTCCCCTTGGACCCTTCTATTACGTCGCAGTCTGAGTCTCCATTCCTCCGGAACCGCCTGTCTTAGTCGCGTTAATCTTGTCTTTCTGTCCGGTTGGTGCCTAAGCACTCTTTCCATCTCTGCGTCGTCTTTCCACTCCCTTTTGTCCACATCCCACAGATCCACCACCCTGTGCACCCCACAGTTGAGTCATTGTCTCCCGAACACCCCTCGATCCCCTTGCCATTGAAACGGGTGGCCGTTTTCGCAGATCCGCCTGTTTCCCAACAACGACTGCCCCAGGATCTGTATCACCGATTGCGGCTCCATATGTGTCAGGGCGGATTTTCTCCATTTCTCCAAAGTTAGGTCCCACATCAGAAATAAACTTACAGAAAAACCCAAACTCAGAATTTTACGCAGAGCTACTCTTAAACTCTAAAGAAGATGACCGAATGGATTAAACTAAAGCTCAAGGGCCTTCAATTAAGAGCTAGGGTGAAAGATTGGGAACTGAACGAAAGAATGTCCAAATTTTTCTTCCAGAAGATCAAAGCAAACTCTAGGAATTCCAAAATAGAATGCCTACAGGACGAAAATGGCAACCCAATCACTGAAACAACAAAACTAGTAAACATAGCAACCACATTCTACAAAGACCTGTATACCTCCAAGATACCCATAGGAGGCAACTACTCAACAAACAAAGCAAGAGAGAAGTTCTTGACCCACCTAGACCAATCCATATCACCAGAAATAACAAAAACACTAGAAGAACACATATCCTTAGAAGAATTACATAAAGCCCTTATCGAACTCAAACCCAACAAAGCCCCAGGAAGAGACGGCCTCTCTAAGGAATTCTGGATGGATGGATGGCACACACTAGGCCCACTCCTCCTCAGCTTCCTCAACAGAGCATGGGAGGAAGAAACACTAGGCCCAGAACTGAGTACGGGGGTGGTGACACTACTAAATAAAAAGGGTAACAAAGAGGACATAAAAAACTACAGACCCATCTCATTATTAAATGTATCCTACAAAATCGTAGCCAAACTCCTAGCCACTAGAATAAACAAAATTACAGGAAGATGCTTCCACCTAGATCAAACAGGGTTCATACCTGGAAGACTCATCCTGGACAATGTAATGTCCCTTTGCGAATCCACGAGGATAATCAACCATAAACGAATTGCAGCAGCCATTCTCTTCTTTGATTTCGAGAAAGCATACGACCAAGTGAACTGGGACTTTCTCCAGGCCAGCATGAAAAGAATGGGAGTAAGACCTATCTTCCGGAAATGGTGAGAATACTCTACAACGACGCACAAGGGATAGTTCAAGTCAACGGATTCCTCTCGAACCCCTACCCAATGACAAGGTCAGTAAGACAAGGAGACCCGTTAGCAGCACCAATCTTCCTTTTCATCATGGAGGCCATCGCCGCCTTTCTAAGAAAAGATAGATCAATCGAGAGAATAGAAAACATCACAGATGAACGCGGTCAACACCTTCACATCCCCACCACCCTCTTATTCGCAGACGACCTTACAATACTAATCAGAGGAACAAATTCTTCCTCCAAGCCCTGATAAGAGCAATGCAAGCATTTCAACTAGCCTCAGAAATGAAAGTCAACTGGACCAAGACAACAGGCTGGTGGACTGCAGACACACCTCCTCCCACATAACTATCCCCTCAAGGTCTACAGTGGACAGATCCAGATTCACCAATCCGATTCCTAGGCATTAATCTCAACCTCAAAGGATGCCACCAGATTTCAGCAGCGACACTCTTGTCCTCAATGGTTAAYARGATGCRCACCTGGAAAGCCACACACACCTCCCTTCTAGGTAGGGTACTAGCGCTCAACAATTCGATCCTAGCAATGATGTGGTACTCCACCTCCATATGGTTCCCAGCCTCAGACTTCCAAAACCAATTAAGGAAAAAAGCCGCAGCATTCCTTTGGACAGGTAATCCGGACAAGGAACACTTATCCACAAGGTGGCCTGACAGATAGTCACCAGCCCAAAAAACAAAGGGGGCTTAGGCCTTATAGACCCTACCCGCCAAATACAGGCTTTACAAATCAAATGGGTCATAAGACTAGCCCTACAAGACAATCTACACTGGACTCCACTAGTTCTCAATCACATCAGAGAACTCGCTCCCTTCACCTCCCCACCCAATATGACAGGCCTCTTCTGGATTTTCAACAAATTATGGCCACGGTCCGACCAAACACACCAGAGGAACGTTAACGAATCCCCCCAGACTAAATCACTCTGGGAGCAAATTCTACACATCTGGAGAATCATCTTCCCATAGAACAGAACGGGTCCAATGAGAAAAGACGAAGTCTTTAGACAACCCCTATTCGGTAACCCACTGATTAGGAATGACAAAAGAGAAAGCCTCACACTCTCAAAATCAGAACCCAAATGGGGGCACTGGCTAAAAAAGGGAATATGGCAAATCAAACACATTTGGGACGAACCAAACAAAACCTGGAAAACAGAAAGAGACCTACGAGAACAACTTAAAGGAGTTCACCACCTACTAACTAACTTAACTGACATCATAGACTGCATCCCCCTCCACTGGCGAGCCCTACTAAAATCAAAACAAGAATGGCAAATTGGAGACTGGGCCATCAACAATGACTCCTCAATAATCCAGGAAGTCCTCGAATTCAAGAACCACGAACCCCACAACAAAGAATGGATTTGGTGCGACATACACACCCTAGAAGAACCAGGAAACCCGGTAAGCTATATCACTACAAACAGCAGAGCAGAAGGAGCATTCAGAAACAGCAACCTGCGAAGAATAAAGATCTTAGAAGGGGAAAGAAAAAGAGTCTATAAACCCCACATTAACGTCTGCGATCTAGAGGTCGATCCCACAGAATGGACATGGAGCTCCCCCGCTGGTTCTACCCTCATCTCCAACTTGTACAAACTAACTGACTACACACCTAAACTAGGCTACCATCTTTTCACCAAACCCATTTCAATATCCAACTAGGCTACCATTTTTTCACCAAACCCATTTCAATATCCAACACAATACGCAACAGGTGGACGAAGGAGGAACCACAATTAGCCAACACCCACTTTAAACTCCCCTGGCCCACAGTACTATCCACAAGACCGGTTAAGCTAGCAGGCCTAAGATGGCTAATAGCCTTTAGAGCAGTCCCAGTAAACAAATGGTTGGTCATCAGACGCAAACAAGATAACAGATCCGAACAGGAATCCTGGTGTAAGGTATGCAACCTTGATATTCCTGAAACCCTAAACCACTGTTTCCTGGATTGCTCAAAGGCAAGATCCCTCTGGATAGCCCTAGAATCATCATGGTTAAAAATCTCGGACTCTCCCCTACTAATTAACCCCGCCACACCCCCACTAAAAGGATTCGAAGCCTTCCTCGCCTCCCAAATCAAGAAAAACACCCTATGGGCCATATGGAAAAACAGATGCGACATTACCTTCGACGACAGACTCACCCCCCCCGAAAACCCACTAATCATTATCAGACAACTAATAGACACCGAAATTCATGCCCTATGGAAAAATAAACTCAAGAACCTCCCAACTGACCCGGACAAAAAGAATCTATTAATCCAAAAATTCTCCATCTCCAAACTAGGCAATGGGCTACTTGGCACAATTAACAACGACAGACTAATTCTAAAAAATTGGCTATCCATAACACAAACATAAAGCCTCCACACAACCCCCCCACCCCCACACACAACCAGTCCCAATCCACCCCATCATTACTCACCCTCCTCCGAACCATGTAAGACCCCCAGCCCTGCATCAACCCAATTCCTTCCCCCCATCGCGCCCCACACACCCCCAACCTTCTACCCCCACACCAATGCAACCCCCGACACCCCCCCCGATCCACACCTTCCACCCCCCTCCCCATTCCCTCCTTTCAACCTCTAGTACACC